GGTGGAAGTCCGCAGCCCGGGAGCGCCGCTTCTCCCTAGCGCCTTGTAGCAGTGGGTTAAAAAAAAGTAAGTTCCCGGGCCCCGGTGCAAGCCGCGAAAAGTAGAGTCGGCTCTTGAGACCGGAGCATCGAATAAAAAAACCAGGACGCCTGACAATCGCAGCTTATTAGGACGCAATTTAGCCAGCTCCCTCCCCAGGCACGTTTTACGGAAAGTGCCTTATTGTTTTGTAGAACAGAACAGTACGGACCCTCCAGCGAGACTGGCGTTTACACTTCGGCCACTCCTTTAGCCTCCATTTGGGGATTTGGTCCAGGGACAGACGCTGAGAAGAAATAACAGCGTGGAAGCCAAGTCCTCCATTTACTATTGGCTGTCTAACATCACACTTCCCACCACCTACGGTCTGTGGTAAGTGATGGTGAGGACTAATGGTTTCAAAAGTCAACCTGGTTTCCTCTTTAATTAACAATCGTGACATTTGAAGTTTCAATTCCGGAAGAGACAATAACGAAGATCTTTTGTTCCAGCTTTTATTTTATTTTTGTACTGGGGAAGGAATTCAAGCTCTCTCTCCTGTGCTAAATTCAGGCTGTTTTACCAGAGGAACCCTTGTCCGGACTGTTTTATAATTGCCTCACCAGCCTTTAGTCCTGAACTGTGTCCCCCAACCCCACCAAAAAAAAAAAAAAAAAAAAAAAAAAAAAAAAAAAAAAATCCCTTAAGTCTTCTTCCAGAGAATCTCCCCATAGTTCTCATTTCTCTGTCCTTTGAACTTTCATAAGTAACCCTCCTGCAGATTGCAGATTAGCTTTTTTTTTTTTTTTTTTGTCAGCCTGACCCTGTGTGCTTACACTGACATCTTGCACGGTGATGGGAGCCCAATACATCTCCAACAATTCAGCCTGTGAAAGAGGAGCCCTGATTGGCCGTCGGTGGTGGCAGCGCATTTAATCCCTGCACTCCAGAGGCAGAGGCAGGCGGATCTCTGAGTTTGAGGCCAACTTGGTCTATAGAATTGAGTTCCAAGACAGCCAGGGATACACAGAGAAACCCTGTCTCAAAATGAATAAATAAAATAAAAAAGAAAAGTACATGTATTGTAGATTTGACTTCCAATCTGAAGCCTATTGGGAGTCTAGTGTAAATTGAATCATAGTATGGGACCTCTTACTGGCTTTTGATTCCGGGTTGCCTGTGAGGTGAGCAGCTTTATCCTAGCAAGAGAACAGAGCCAGCCGGCCACAGACTTACAAAGCTAGGCAACACTTCATCTCCTTTAAGTTGCTTACTAATACAAATGGACTGGGGAGATGGCTTAGCAGTCCATTGCTATACAGTTCTGGCATCTACATTGAAAAACCTCACAAATGCCTGTAACTCCAGTGCCAAGGGATCCAATGCCTTGTTCTGGCCTCTGTGGATGTACACACACACATACATACACACATGTATACATAAAACACACACACAAATAAATATGAATTAAATCTTAAAACTTTTTTGCACTTGGAGTGACTAATATGATACTGATTATAACAGTGAAAAGTCAAGAACAACCTAAGTGTGCACCAACAGAGAAGGACCAACATTCACATAGTGCTATATGTACAGGAACTAAGAAATTGGCTTTGTTTTTCCAAAGGATAAATGAGAATTCAGAACCAATGTGGAATTGAAAAAAAAAAAACCAATTTGCAGAACTATACATTATGATACCATATTCACAAATAAACAGAGCCTTTGGAACCCATACTATCATATTTTGTGTGAATATAAACTCTTACACACCAAATTCATGGCAGCTGTGGCCTATATAGAAGGAGCAGAAATTGGACTGAGAGAAAAATCTTCAACCTAATCTATAGCGCTTGATTGCTTTAATTAAAAGGATGAGAGTGGTGGCTGGAGAGATGGCTCAGTGGTTAAGAGCATCGGCTGTTCTTCCATAGTTTGACCAGGGTTCCATTCCCAGCAACCACATGGCAGCTCACAGCTGTCTGTGATCTAGCACCCTTGCTCAAACTATACACGCAGGCAAAAATGTCAATGCATGTGAAAATAAATTTATCTTTTATATGTGTGTTTTTTAGGTTTATGTATCTGAGTGTTTTGCTTGAATGTGGGTGTGTGCAGCATATGTGTGCCTGGTGCCCATGGAGGCCAGAAAAGGGCATTGGAGCCCTTGGAACTAGGATGGCTGTGAGTCACAAAGGCTGTAGTACACTATGCCTTTAATGTTTTAAAATACATGTATTTGAGATTAGAGACAAATTGAAAACAAATGTCCAAACAGTCAATCAAATCAGGCATTGTGGTGCAGGCCCATAGTCCCAGCACAATGAGATGGAGGCAGGAGGAGCAGAAGGTCTTCTATGCTATGTAGTGAATTCTAGTCCAGCTTTGAGACCCTATCTTTAAAATAATATTAATATAAGTATAGTCTCTGAATACAGTGACTTTTTATAATAACTTTTGGTATATTGATAGTAGGATAGCCCACAAAGGATATTTTTAAATTAGCAAACTATACACACTCACGTGATGTGTGTAGCTGAGGAGACACAGAGAACACAAGGCCAGTGGAGCACAACATCATCTTTAGTGACAAAATAATCAAGTGCAGACCCATACATTATTTGTGTGTGCTGTGTTGTAGCCTCCCATCCAGTGATGCTCTGGTGCTTCCAGGTTATCTCATCCAATCTGCAAAGTAGCCCTGTTATCAACCCTTTCTGATAGAAAAACAACAACTTCGCCAAGTAATTTGCCCAGGATCAAAGGGCTGGGATTTGAATCTCTGGAGCTCTAGCTGCAGCAGAGCTTAGGAGCACTGAATTACTAGGCTCTCTTCACAAGAAGTCATGATTATAATGTACCTAGAGATATGGAACAAGCCAAATTAAACCCCTTTACACTTTCAGTGTTGTTGCTTTGTTGTTGCATTGCTAGAGGTGGAAACTAGGGCCTCCCAGGTGCTAAGAAGGCCCTCTGCCACTAGGCTATAGCCCAGCAGTACCTGAAGACTGGAGGAGTGTGTCTGAGAGAAGAGATGTGTGCCCAGGGAGGAGAGGAGCACAAAAGCCCAGGTCCCTAGTCAGGGCAGAGACAGAAGTCATAGATGTGGCTAACACTGGCTGTCCACTCGCCAGTGCGGCTCCTGAAGTAAGGATAGGATAGTTTAGGCATCCATCGGGGCAGAATATCCCCTAAGACTCACACCCTGCTCATGTTGTCTCTGAGTGAAAAAACAAAATCTGATTATTCACTCAGCCTCTTCACAATGTAGGTGTTAGGAGAGCAGGCAGTGGTCTTCAGGCACATGCTCGTCTCCTTATCTGTCACCAGTATGATGGAGACTTATGAAATCTGCCATCAAAACTTGGTTCTCTCTGGACAGTCATGAAAATGCAGAGCAGGATCAGATCACAAAAGACCCAGATGACTAGGAAGAAGGCATGCCACACGGATCCTTTTCACTTTGGAGTTGGTTTAGCCCCATATGTTTTGTCTCATTAACCAGGCCACAGCTTCCTCCACAACAGGAAACTATAAAGAACCTCTCAACTGACAAGCACAGCAGATACACTTTAAAGGCGTCTTTAGTATGCCAAGTATCAAAGTTTAAAGCTTTAACCATTTCTGGTCAAGAGTTGGGGTACAAACCCGAAATCACAGCACTCAAGATGCTGGGGAAGGAAGATTGAGACTTCCAGGCCAGCTTAGACAGTGTGAAGAGAGCTGTATGAATGAACCAGTAGAGTTTTACTTGTTTCTCTGAGCTAGCTCAGGAGAGCTCCTTCTTCATTTTTCTTTGGCTATTTTGGTTCTAAAAATGTTTAGAATTTTGGGAAGAAAGCTAACCTCGCCTTGGTTAGTTTAGGTGATGTATTTCTGTTGTGCCCAAATTCTGAACCACAAAATCACCAAGAGAGTCTTTAATTAATGAATTAACTATTAACTTGGGTCCTCCATCTGTTCAACGTGGTGGGCAGATTGAGAAGGACTTGAAGGGATCACAGGCAGGGAATTTATTGGGGTAGAGCAAGGGAAATGTCTCGGTCAGCAACAGTCTCAGGATTGGTGTACTTCCTGGCTTGGGTGACCTGTCTTGAGTTGATTGGAGGCCCTCCCAGAGCAGCTGCTATGCTCTGCACTCCACTGTTGTCATAAAGCATGCTGAGAGCCCACCAGCTAACTTCTGATTGGTTCCTTGCCACAGGGAGGGTATCTGGCTTCCTAGTGACTGGAAGGCTGGGAAAGGTTGGAAACTTAGCACATGTTGCTGAGTCAGAGGCCTGCCTCTTTTCTGCAGCCTGTCATGGCTGCTAAAGCAGGGGTCTGGGTGAGGGTCTGGTCCCTTCATTTCCACGATGCATTTGAACTTTTTAAAACTTAAAAAAGATTATTTATTATTTTGGTTTTTCAAGACAGGGCTTCAATGAGTAGCCTTGGTTGCCTTAGAACTCTGTAGACCAGGCTGGCCTTGAACTCACAGAGATCCTCCTGCCTCTGCCTCCTGAGTGCTAGGATTAAACATGTTTGCAGCTACCACCACCCAGAATTTATTCTTATTTTATTTGTATGGGTGCTTCACCTTCATGTATGTCTGTGTACCATTTGCATACAGTGCCAAATGAGACCAGAAGAGGGGCACCAGTTCCCCTGGAGCTGGAGTTACCAATGGTTGTAAAACAATGAGCAGCGGAATCTGACTTTCAGCCCTGATGACAACTCAACATGTTTATAGGGCACTCTATCTGCAGAGAATTGCTTGGGGTATAGAGAACACTCCCCTTGTTGTGGCAAACAGAAGAAGATGGAATATAAATGGAAAGTGGAAAACATTGTTGCCTCTGTTGACTTCCTCTGCCATTGTTTTGCCTCCCTCAGTTAGCTGATTGGCTACTTGTTTTCTAGTTTGGCTGTTGGGTGTGGTGGCTCAGGCAGGCCTGTAATCCTGGCACATGAGAGGTAAAAGCAAGATGCTCAGGATTCAAGGTCATCCTCACTCTTCGGAGCCCTTGAGAAGGTATCTCACAAAAGCAAGGCAAAGGCTGGCCTGAGACTTCCCTTACCAACACTGAAGACCTTTCCTCAACAACAAAACAGTTTGGATGTCAGGGCTAAAGCCCTCCAGTATCACAGCTCTCACACTTAACTTGCAGTGTTCACGCCAGGCAGGTGAACTCTGCCCTGGTTTTAAATTATTTCTAATTTCTTTACTTCTAGCCGTGGAAGAGCCAGGTGATGGTGGCACACACTTTTAATCCCAGCACTCAGGAGGCAGAGAGGCAGGCAGATCTCTGAGTTCAAGGCCAGCCTGGTCTACAAAGTGAGTTCCAGAACAGCAAGGGGGGTTACACAGAGAAACCCTGTCTTGGAAAAAAATAAGCCAAAAAAAAAAAAAAAAAGCCACAAGCTTCCCATGTATAGCTGGAGCAGTTCAGGAACCAGGACCATGTTGGTGGCCCCTGGCAAATCGCACAGACCTGCTTTTCCAGATGCCTCCAGTGATGCTAAAGTTTCTCATTCTCCAAATAGCTACTCTGCTTCTCAGGTGAGTAATAAAGTATGGGGTTGCATCAGTCAGCATTGCTCAATACTTTGAGACATGTTCCCAGGACAGCTCAAAGCAGCAGCTTCTGCTGTTACAGTTTCTTTTGACGGTTCATGTTTGTAGGGAACTGGTAGACATTCTCCTGGAACACCCCCTCTTTGAGCTTTCCTGGCGCTGTTTGATGGTATTTGAGTATTCCTCATTATGTTTATGGCCTGCTGCAACGTTCAAGTCACGTCCCGATATGAACAGAATGTCGCCTGTCAATATCTGGAAAAGTTCCAATTTCTGTATGTTCTGAAACCTTTCATTAAAACTGTAAAACAAGCCAGGGGTGTGGGGGTTGCACACCTTTAATCCCAGCTCTAGGAGGCAGGGGCAAATGGATCTCTGAATCCAATGCCACCTTGGTCTATAGAGTGAGTTCCAGGTCAGCCAGACCTACATAGTGAGAATCCTGTCTAAATAATAACAAAAACATAAAACAGGGGCCAGAGAGATGATGCATGGGTTAAGAGCACTCACTGGCTGTGCTTCCAAATGACCTACCTACCTGGCAGCTCACAACTGGCTGTAACTCCAGTTCCAGGGGATCTGAAGCCAACTTCTGGTCTCTGCAGGCAACAGATACAAAATATATACACAGATATACATAAGAGAAGACATTTTTTTTAATTAGTTAAAAAGAAAAAACTTGAAACAGGCCAGGTATGATGGTACATGCCTGCCTTCAATCCCAGCACCTGGGAGGCAGAGGCAGGTGGATCAATGTGAGTTACAGGCCAGGTTGGCATGCATAATGAGAGATCTTGTCTCGGAAACAAACAACAAAAACATAATGAACCGGTGTCTCTGATCTACTCTGGTCTCAAACTTCTGGGCCCAAATGGGGCTCCTGCCTCAGCCTCCCAATTACTGAAGCTATGCACTAGTAGTTTCAGCTCATTAGAAACATTTGTTTGGGCCAGGCGGTGGTGGCACATACCTTTAATCCCAGCACTCGGGAGGCAGAGGCAGGCGGATCTCTGTGAGTTAGAGATCACCCTGGTTTACAAGAGCTAGTTCCAGGACAGCCTCCAAAGACAGAAACCCTGTCTCCAAAAAAAAAAAAAAAAAGAGAGAGAAACATTTGTTTGTTCACTTGATTATTTCTAAGATAGGATCTCACGTAGCTGATGCTGACCCTGAGCTGGTATAAGGTATGTGCTGCCACACCTGCTAAAAATTTTAACAGAGACTGTTTTGTAGCAAATACTGGTAAGCTTTATGAAGAATGAGTCCAAGGCCTTTGTCTTATCACAGTCCATTTCTGTAACAAAATGATCATTTCAGAGCCACTTGGGAGCATCTAGCCTATCTAAAGCTACAATAAATAGTTAATTGTATAACCGATGTTAAGGGAAATGTTTTTATGATCTGTTTTTAACTTCGAATTTAAAATGAACTGTGAAGTGCTGTTTGGGTTTGTTAGCAGTTATGTTAACAACAAGCTGTTTCCATTTATCTCTGAGATACCAGGTCAGAAACAGAAAAATTAAGTGT